GACTCCAGAGTGTTAATTGAGCTGGACAGCCCCTCTGTGACTGCAGAACAAGTAGCCACCATTGAGCAGAGTGTCAATGAAAAAATCAGAGATCAGTTGCCTGTGAGTGTTCAAGAACTGAGCCTGGATGATCCTGAGGTGGAGAAGGTGAGAGGCCGGGGATTACCAGATGATCATGATGGACCCATTCAAGATGTTACCATTGAGGGTATTGATTCTAACAGGTGCTGTGGGACTCATGTAAACAATCTTAGTTACCTTCAGATCATAAATATTCTGGTTACTAGAAGGGGAAAAAGAACAAAACCAACCTGATATTTCTGGCTGGGAACCAGGTGCTCAAGTGAATGGAGAGAAGTCACGGAACTGAAAAGGCACTGACCACTCTGCTTAAGTGTGGAACAGAAGATCATGTGGAAGCAGTGAAAAAGCTCCAGAACTACTCCAAAGTCCTGCAGAAGAATAACCTGAATCTGCTCAGAGACCTGGCTGTGCACATTGTTCACTGTCTCAGGAATAGCCCAGACTGGGGAGGTGTGGTCATACAATACAGGAAGGAGGGCGATTCTGAGTTCATGAATATCATTGCCAGTGAAATTGGGTCAGAGGAGACCCTCCTCTTCCTAACTGTGGGAGAAGAGAAAGGTGCTGGGCTCTTCTTACTAGCAGGGCCAGCGGAGGCTGTGGAAACCTGAGGCCCAGGGTGGCTGAGGTCCTGGAAGGCAAAGGAGCAGGGAAGAAAGGCCGCTTCCAGGGCAAGGCCACCAAGATGAGCCAGTGGGCAGAGGTGTAGGCGCTTCTACAGGACTATGTCAGCACGCAGAGCACTGAGGAGTGGGAACTCAGGGTGCCCACTCCCTCTGACCGTGGAAGGAGTCTCTTGGACAATAAAATAATGTGACTCAAAATGGTTCTATTACCACTTAAATTTATATGACTAATTTGTACAGTATACTCTAGTGTGCTTGTGTGATCAGCATCTGTTTGTGAATAAGTAGTTTTCTGATTTGGTGCCTATTAGGCATAAAAAAAAAGAATTCCATTTTCTTTTCCCCCTATTTCCTTAATATCATTTATTGAGTATTCCCCTTTCCCCATAATCTGCATTGCCAATCTCAAATTAAAATTTTTTGCATGAGCTTCTTTCTGGTTTCTCTTGTGTTCCTGTGTTACATTCAGTAATCAGTTAATTACACCATTAATAGATTTCCTCTTTCCCCCTTTTCCAACTATTTCTCTAGTCTTATATTCTTTAGTTAAAACTCTTATATTCTCATTAAGTGAGTGATGTTTTGGGAAAATTTCTTATGGCTCTGGTTTGAGTTTCTTATTCAAATCAAAGATTAGTAGAACAGAATAGGCATGGAGAGTCTATATGCATAGCAAATCAGGAAAACAAGGATTTGCAATCCCAGTGAAATATTATAAAGGGGTGCAGAATTTTATTATACTGTAAATTTGGAGGTTAAAGGCAAATTTTATATAAAGTTTTCAGAGACACAATAACTTGTCTCTCATCTGGGTTACATATGGATTTACAAAAATCCCAAGTTGCTTTGGATGTAAATTGTCTAACATTAATTCTTTGCATATTATCCTGACAAATTTTGGTGTCTAACTCATTTCACTATAAAAGAGATTTTAACATTCTTTCACTAGTTATTGTTTTCCCAAGTTATTAGGGAGCTCATTTATAGAAAAATAGTATCAGTTTTTAAATGGCTAAAAATATAAAGTGATATATATTGCACGTGATTGTGCGAGGAAAGGTGGTAAGCTTTCTAATGGATTCTCTAAAATTAATCTCTAAAAACCAAAAGTTACTTCTCTCTCTATATATAAATATATATATGTAATATAGTTATATATGGTCATTATATAATTAGTTCCCTTATTAGAATCTAAGCTCCTTGAGAGGAGAATCTGATTTGATTAACTTTTTATTTCTGTATAGTGATAATTTCATTGTGTTACAAATATTCCCAATTTCTTAGGAGTTAGGCATTCTTTCTCTTGTATTCTAATACTGTACATGACACATGTATACTCAACATAGTAAGTTATTCCTTTATTTCTCTCTCAGAAAACAGAGAACTTTTTGGAGGAAAATTGCCAAATCATTTTGTTTTTTTAGTTTCTAAGAACCTACTGATTTTAAATGTCCATCGAATGTATTTGTTGTGAAAAATATGCACATACTATTTGTTGAATGAATGGGTATAGTATAAAGGAAAGAGGCAGGTAGACTTGAGTTCGAACACAAGTCTGTCACTTGTGATGCAGTATATTCAAAGTCTAAGTATCCTCATTTGTAAGTAGGAAGATTATCATTTATTACTAATGTCTTGAAAACCTTAGAAACATTTTATTTCTGAAAGCATGTTAGAGATCAGAAGTTTTTCATAAAATTCTTTTCTAAGCAATGACTCATCTTATTTTCCTTTTCTATCTTGCTTTTCCCATTGTCCTCCCATGTTTTCTTATCATGCTGTTCTTATTCTTTTTCCTCAGTTCTGTTAATTGCTAACTAAAAAAAAATCTCTTGTCTTCTATCATAATTATGAAATTCTTGCTACATCTTTTGGAGTGTTTGTATAGGGGAGAGTGGCAAGGTGGTGAAGATATGTAGGGTGTAATGTAAATATGAAGACTGAGGCATTCCTTAGAGACTTAAGCATTCTAATATTGGCAGAATAGAGCATAACAACTCTTAAATAGGGGCAGTTAAACCCAAGACCTCACTTTACTACTAATGCCTTATAACCCCAACAACATTTATATCAATTTACGGAAAGTTATCTTTAAAAATGTGTTGAAAGCGTTAAGTGTTCAGAAGTATTTTTTTTTAATATTTATTTTTTAGTTTTCGGTGGACACAACATCTTTATTTTGAGTGGCCACTGCTTGTTGAATATATAGGATTAACTATTGGAACACTGTTAACCTGTACTATTTTTCTTATGTGAAGTTGATCCGTATGGAATACTTATTAGTTGTCGCTACATCACTTTCCGTAAGATTTATGTATAAATTTAAAAATGTTTCGGCTTCCATGTTTATAGCAATTTGTACACCTCACTGGTCTTTAGATATCTGATTGGATAGTTTTCTTAATTCTGAACGTCTGTCTCTTACATATCATCCTTAAGGTAGCTTTAAAGTTTAATGAGGTCAAGGTCTTATGCTTTTTTTTTTCATTAGGGCTAACCTATTTTGCTTAGATTCTGCCAAAGACTTCTATCTAGTCAAAGTCAGGCATCTAGTGTGGAAAGCAGGCTGCACGTGCCAAGGAAATATAAATTAAAATCCAGAAGACTTAATTTAAGTCTATTAGAAACTATATATCAGATTCATGTCTTATAAGCAATGTCATTTTCAAATTGAAAATACAGTACATTCTTTATGCATTGTATTTTTGATAAAGTCTCTTATTATTATTATTTTTTTAATGATAGATTACTATTTAAGTTCCCTAAAAATTTCAACTTCTTATTTTGGCAGGAATAATTTTCCTTTATAAACTGAAGGGCAATTATTTTTTCCATCTTAGTCCTTTCAAGAAAAATTTTTTTTTAACCTATCCTGGCCTTCCTGTTGGCCTTGAGACTCATTTTTACACCCCAATGTCTGAGTACTGGACCAATATTTGTAAGAATATGGCTCTGGGGAGTGTTATGTTGAGTGACAAGTCATAGAGAATGAGGGTTTTATTGAAGCATCTGAACTGCATTTAATTTTTCGTGTCCGCTTTATTTGTTCCTTTTAGCTCTCAAGTTACTGAATTTTGTGGGCTTCGGTTGGGTCTTTGGAACTTCAGGCGTTTGGTAATAAGAAACATAATCTGCTTTTTCCGGTAGGATGATAAATCCTCATTTATATTAAGGGTGGCTTATTCGAAAGTGTTTTTTTTTTTTTTTCTTTTTATTGGTTGTTCAAAACATTACAAAGCTCATGACATATCATCTTTCATACATTTGATTCAAGTTCTAAACAAATTCTCCCTTTGAGCCCTGGCGTTGCTTAAGGCGGCCTCTGGTGACCTACCTTGGCAACCCGTACCCCATTTCTCAAGAATCAAGATGACCCAGTGTGGCCTTGTATGCTGCCACCACGCCAGACCCTCTAGCTTGCTTTCCCTTCCACCACCCAGGATCAGGATTCCATCCTGCTGCCTCAGCCGTCTGCGACAGCGACATCCCCTCCAATCTCCAACCCTCCCGCGGCTCCCCCCTCAGAGCGTCTCGCCACGCCAGACAGCGGGTAACCGCCGCCTCCGCCGGGGCATCCCGGCTTCTAGGCCTAAAGCGCTCCAGACACCTGCCTCTCACTGGCCACCGCCGCTGCCCCTCACCCCGCAGTCCCCTCGACAATTGGCCCCAGGCCGTCATTCGTCATCCTCGGGCCTCTCCTCGTGTCCCGCCTCCATCCTCGGGTCATTTAAGTTTATTACAAATAAATAAATAAAGGAGGAAATAGAAATGCGTAGAAAGTAAAAGCAGTTGGGAGGGGGCGGGGGAGTGGAGAAAATGGGGCGGGGCGGAGGAGTAAACAACCAAACTTGATTGTGTCTGTGTTGGCCAATCAGGGTTCATTCGAGTCCGGTCTGACGGGCTCTGTCGACCAATAGTTTTCCATCTGTCGGATCACTGAACGACTAGATGCGACTGACCTCTCCAGAGTGGGCGAAGGTGCGGCAGAGCGGGGGAGGGAGTGGGAGGACTGTCTGCCAATCGTCTATTAACAATACTTTGAGCGAAGTTTCCGCTCCCCAATGGATGTTTAAGATAGCGGATTGGGTCTCTCCTAGCCCAATCGAACAAGGTAGAGATGAGGGAAGGGGTAGTAGGGGGCGGGGACAGAAAGGGGAGGAGGAAGAGTGCATTTTGTTTATGGGCGGCAACCTCACGAGGGGCGTCCTATTCTTATTGGCTCACTGAAGCCAAGAGTGGCATGAGCGCAACCAAATAGTGGTGAAAGCTAGAGGTTCGCGGCATGAGGCGCCCAATGTGGGCCTTCTGCCGAAGAAGTAGGGGCGGGGGGAAGTTTAGGAGTTGAGGAAAGAAGATTAAAGAGCGCAAGGAGGTAACGCCAAAAACTCTAATTTGTTGTGGGGCCGCGGGGAGAGATGGGTGTGTGCGTGCCGAGGGGGGCCAGGCGTCTGTTAGGCGCTGGAGTGGGGGGCGGCGGAACTGGGAAGGCAGGGAGCGGGGTGGGGCTGGGGGGAGCGAGTTACGGAGCAGCGAGCCTGCGGGCCGTCAGCCGGCCCAGCGCGCGTCCCGCGCCCCGCCCCGAGCGCGCCCCCTCCTCCGGACTCCCCTCCTCGCGCCCAGCTGCGGCCTCACCCGACCCGGCGGGGAGGGTCTCTGGGTGCCAGGAGCGGGCGGGGCGTCCCGCATCTGGAAACGTGTCTTCTGCCTTTTTCTCTTTACTCCCTGCGCCTGGAGCTGCCGCTTCCAAGAAGAGGAGCTGAGGGGGACTAGCCGGGGCTCCGGAGCTGCTAGAGGCGCCCGCTTGTCTTCCGTCCCCTCCCTCCTCGCCCTCCCCCGCTTGCCATGGCTCTCGCGGTCTCTGGAGCGTCTTCAGAGAACTGGGGGCGGGAGGTGTCCTGGCCCCAGAGCGGCTGGACGCCTCTCCAGACGCCGGAGCTACCGGCCCTCGCCTGCTTCGCTTCCAGGACTAGAGAGAGGAGGGGGCTTGGGAAAGGGAGACCCATCTTTCCTTTTTCTCCGTCTTTGGGCCACTTCGGAAACATTAAAAGACGTTGACGCTTTTTGATATCTGAGATAAAACGGTTGGAAGGCTTTTGAAAGTTTCTGTGCGCTCCCTTACATTGTTTAATGCATTCCTGTCTGTGTGGCTCTTCAGGTCCTTCCCCAATCGCGAAGCCGTTACCCTTTTTTAAGGATGCTGGAGAGGCAGGAGGCAGGAATTTTCTAAAAGTTCTATTGATAAACACACTTGCAGAAGCATATGCTAGGCACACACACAAACTATAAACATTAGCGAAAAACACAATATGGCGTACAGCTACACTACCTAGCGCGCGGTAATCCGCTGATCTCTTACTCTCAACCAGGTTGAAAGAGGTCAGTAGCAGGATGACAGCTCTCACAATAAAAATCTGAATGAAACAGGAAGTAATTTTGAAGCTTGTGGGTGTAGTACTGTTCTGAGAGTCAGCATTGGCCCAAGCTAAGTTGAACGTGCTACCTTTCTAGAAATGTGAAAATTATCTTCAGTATGTTTATCATTAAAAATACAGAAATGCTGAAATGGCATTTTCTAGCTGGAGGCCAAGTGTAAATTTCAGCTGTTAATACTGGAGGCCACTCATTCCCCCAGTGTTTTCAAGTGAACTCTGTTCTAAAGTTACTGTTGTAACTTGTTGCCATTGAAAGTTTTAGGCATATAACTTATCTTTTTGTAAATAAATTCTATACATGCAAATACTGAATTTAACTTAAATTCGTAAACGATTCAATTTCATTCTGTTTCCGCTCCTAATCTCTTTGCCATCTTGTGGAAATAGACTCCACCCTTACCCTACTTAACCCTCATGTAGATTTGACCAGTCAAGATTTGACTTTTGTGTATTTTTGCTTTACAACTGGGACTGTCTATATTTCTAGGAAAAGAAAAAAGCTGCTTAAGTTGATTTTCATGCCCTTAACCTTTGTCATTCTTAGCCAGAATATATCAGAATCACATATCGAAACACAAACAGTACATGATAATATTCCTGTGCCATCTCTTGAATTCTATTCTCCCTAGAAAGGTTTGAAGATGTCCTTGAAAATGTTCTGATGTTACAGTTCTTTGCTCAAGTTTTAATTTCCCAGATTGGGGCTGTGATTTCCATTGGGCTCAGTTTTGAAAAAGTTTAGATTTGAGAACACATGGTGCTGAAGTAATCAGGTGAGAAGAAGAAAAGTGAGTTTTTAAGAAAAGCAATAGCTTGTTTAAGTGAGTTGGGCAGTTGGATACTTCTGGTGTTGTGGTTTCATATCTTAAAAGACAGTGAAATACAGGCTTTTGCATATGAGGATTAGGCAGCAAACTTACTGTCTACCAGCCTTCAAATCAGCATGCCCTTTCATGGTGAGGTTCCAATTTTAACAGGTTAAAGAAAATTTGAGACTAAAAATTGTCAAATTTTATTCATTTCCAGGAAGAAGTCTTTATCCTTACCCATCTAGGCCAGTGTTTTAAGACTACTACTATACCAAGAAGATACAAATATAGATCATTTACACCACTAGCTATATGAGAAGCAAGATGAAATTAAAGGAAATAATTGAGGAAGGAGAAAATTTTCATGTGAGAAATTTTTTGGTGGTGGTGGTGGTGGGGGATAAGTGTTATGTCAGTTTCCTACATAGTTAGGATGGAAAGTTGAGACCCACCAATATCCAGCTCCTCTTTCTGTCAATTTAATAAGAATTTGACTACTTGGATAAGGAAGAAAATCTAAGGGAAAAACAATTTTAAGTGAATTATTTTTGTCTCATTAGTGAAAGTCTTCAGAAGGCTTTCTGATAAATTGGATTTCCTAGAAAAATGGCTAGACCAAATAATTAGTTTATTTTAGAAGAGCAATAGGACTATAACCAAATTCTTGTGAAGGATCTATAATTTATAAATGAATTTCAAATTATTCCAAATATCTTCAGAATAAGTGATAAGGAGACACTTTAAAACATTTGGAATGTGGAAGTGGAGCAAAATGGATTCTGTTTTATTCTCTGAAATAATCATGTTTTTCTGCAGTGGATGGTTAAATCATCAAATTGTTAAAGACATTGTTCTAGGCACTTGGGATATTGACAGTGAATAATACAGAAATTGCCTGCCCTTGTGGAACTTACATTGTAATATTACACAAAGTTTGTGTACTCTGCATTGCTAGGAGGTGAGATTTTTGGGTGGAACTTTAAACTCTAGCTGCTTTCTTATTTTAGGAACTATGATTTGAAAGATCTTAGAGAAGTTTCAGGGATAGGAAGGTGTTTACCAATTGCAAATTATAGGAAAGGGAGAGTTTAGTTTATTTATATTTGTACCTTTTGTTATTGTCATGAAACATCTCCATATATTTCAGTAAGTTTTTTTGACAGATAGGGGTTTTATATTTTTCACAATTTTAACCATGTTTTTAAAATAAATAAAAATGTTGCTTTATATTTAAAAATATCTTGTGTCCTGAAATTTACTGTAAATTTCAAATGTAGCATTGTCTTGTTAGCAAAGTTTGGTAAAACAACTGCTACAATATCTTAATTTTTGGTTAAGATTTGTTTTAGGAATATATCTGAGAAATCAAGTGCCTCAATCTTTTTAGTTGTGGTTTTAACAAAAGAAGATGAAAATTGTAATTAATTTACAGTTGGCATTAAAGAGGTAGAAAAAGAGAGACTGCAAAAAAAAAAAAAAAAAAAAAAAAAAAACTTTGTTATTTAAACCTTTTTTAAAAAACTCCAGAAGCATTTGATTGGCACATCTCTGATTTAATAGACCATTTGTAATGCAAGAGGAACATTACAGAAGATTTTAGCATTACTTTAATCATTTCATCTGTAGGTGGAAAAATCCTAGGTTCTAACAGAAGGAAACTTGGTGCCTCACAAATGAGTGTATGATTTAACTCTGAGTTTGTGGCTTCATGTAGTGGGTGTCTCACCTTTCTAAAACCTAGTTCATGCTTTTTTTTTTGGTTACTGGAGATTGAACTCAGGTGCACTTGACCACTGAGCCACATCCCTAGCCCAATTTTGTATTTTATGTAAAGACAGGGTCTCACTGAGTTGCTTAGCACCTAGCTAAATTGCTGAGGCTGACTTTGAACTTGCTCCTGCCTCTGCGTACTGAGCTACTGGGATTAGAGCTGCTGGGATTAGAGCTATTGGGATTACAGGCATTCACCATGCAGGGCAGTAGTTCACTCTTCCTAAAGAGCAAGTTCTGATTTTTATTTTTCTCTATCATTGAGAGTCTTACTTTGTTAACCAAATATAAGTTTAGTTCTTAAATGGGATAGTTTATTTTATACACCATCTTCCTTCTCCCAGTTCCCCCATCCTCTGATGTTGGGTTTGTATCTCCATGTGTATATTGGGATCTCTCTTTATGCTAATATGTAGCAGAATGAACCTCCATACTGATGAATTTTAGAGGATTTGTCATCATAAGAAAGCCATAAACATGAAGATTTAGGAGGATATGAAGACTTTACAACATGAAATGAATTGCTTTAGCTGAATTTTTTAAAAGGCAAAGTGGAAGAATGGTTAATAGAATGATAAAAACTAAGAACGTTACCTAATTATAATAAGGGTGGTTAAACAATGTGTGTTTATGTGTGTATGAGAATATATTTATAAATGAGCAGTTTTTAAATAAAGATATATTTTAGTACTGAATAAATAATTCCAGTTCTGCTCTGTGGTCCTTGATATATTGGAATGTGTTCAAAGTTCCCAGGTGATTTTGTTTAACATGCTTTGTTACCAGAACTTTCCTATGAGTAACATAAAAACAAAAATTAGTTAAATCTTTGTAAATTTTTTATTGGGAGGATGATTAGCATGCTATTTTGGAAGTTTTCTTCAAGTGTGATTACCAAACTGTGCATAAATAAATACAATCTGAAATGGGAAGTTCATAGAACCTGAATCCACATAAGATAGATGAATGTTTCAAAACGAGTTATTCATAGTTCAAAAGATAAAATCCTGACATCTGTCAAGCTTTTTATAGTAATAAAATAAGCATGACTAATTCTATTAATATTCATATTTGTAAGGTAAGTTTAAGCATGTGTACAGTGCATTTTAAGTCAAAATTTGGGGTGTTATTGGCTAGACACAGTCATTTCTTTGCCAGAGATACTAGGCTGTGTGAGGGCTAACCATCTGTCAACTGGTGATAGAGACAAAGAAAGGTTTTAATATACTAGTTTAAAATGTCCACAAACTTGTTTTGAACTGTATTGTCATTTTGTTTGGCCTTCATACTCTATGTTGAATATGCACTGGGTCAGTCACCCACTTTGTTTAATGAACAAACGATTCAAGGTCTAGATAAGG